GCGATGTTCACTGAGGAGGTCGCTCGTTGGGCCGACTTGCCAGTTGCTCAGCTCGAGGCCTGAGCGGCCACACATTGTATGGTGGTACGTTCTTGAACTTGTCTTTCAAATTGTCTTGTACTTAGATTTTTTGTATACTAATACTCGTTTTCTTCTCTTGGCAGGTGAACTCCTCCATCCACGCCTTGGCTTATCAGTTCGAGGTGAACCTGAAGCAGGCTCTCGAAGCCGAGGAGTCTTCCTGAAATGCCCACGCCGAACTAAACTTAGCTCGCAACGAAATCAACCAACTGAAGAATGACACGCGAGCTAAGAAGGAGCTATTAACTCTGCTGAAGTTAGAGAAGAAGGAGCTCGAGGAGCGTGAAGCGACATTGAAGAGGGAGGTCGAGAACCTCGAGGCCCATGTGAAGGAATGACCCGAACTACTACTTCAGGCGATGGAGGAGGCCAAGGTTAAGGCAGTTGAGGAGTACAAGTCCTCAGTGGAGCTTCGGGAAAGGTTGGTCAAGGCAGAGATAGCGGGTTACCGCAAGGGGTTCAAACTCGGTAGGTGGTTGACCCAACGTGAATTTTCCCACCTCGACCTCAGTGCCATAACCACATCGAAGATCACCAAGGAGATGGCCATCGAAGCTGCCAAAGATCCGGACTCCGAAGCGGAGAGTGATGACGACCTGCTTGACAAGGAAGAGGAGACCGGTGCTGGTGAGGACCGTATGGAGATAGATCCTCCTGTCGAAGTCTCCAATAAGGATGAAGAGCCCCAAACAGATTGGAGCCTCTTTTCTTGGACACCCCTCTTTTTGTAACGCTTAATGTTTCGAGCCTCCGAGCTCGGTCAATTGTAATCTTTCTTTTCTTTTCTTTTATTTTTTTTTGTACTTGAAGTTCTATCAATGAAATACAAGTGTTTTGCAATCTTTGTATGCAAATTTTTCTAAGTATAGATTACTCCCAACCTGGCGAGCTCGACACTAGTAGGAATAATCTAATTGACATTGTATGCCAGGGCAAAGAGACATTATAGGGTACATACCCGACCTGTCTATGCCTGGGTCACTTTGCTTTGACCATGCCAAAGCGATTGGGCTTTAAGCTGCCTGTGCCGAGGTCTGCTATCAGCTTGGCACCATAGCCCTTAAGCTTCTAGGAGCGACTTATGGTCCTCTCTCCTGCTCGTTGTCTATTTGACCAGTTTGGTGATTTCATGAGTGACTTGTACTTGGAGTTGTAGATTCATACATAGTATCTTCTTAAGTTGTCAATGTTCCATTCTCAAGGTACCAGCTCCCCTTCCAAAGTCTCGAGCTCATATGTGCCTTCCCCGTACACCCATCTTATATGGTACGAACCTTCCCAGTTCAGTCTGAGCTTACCCACACCGGGCTCAAGTACCATAACTTTCCGTAGGACTAGATCACCAACACGAAATTGCCACTTCTTGACCTGGGCATTATAGTACCGAGCTACTTTCTATTGGTATGCCATAGTCCGGATGTAGGCCAAGTCTCGTACGTCTTCTACAAGGTCCAGGTTGGTACAGAGCTCGTCATTATTTGTTTCCTCATCATAAGCCTCAAGTCGCAACGTGGGCAATTTCGATTTCTGCCGGGATCACTGCTTCTGTGCCATATGTGAGGTTAAAGGGGGTCTCACCCGTCGTTGTCTTGATGGTAATCTGGTAGGCCCAAAGAACACTGGGTAGCTCATCCACCCACAACCCTTTAGCTCGTGCAAGACGAGATTTCAGCCCACGAAGGATGGCTCTGTTCGTTACTTCGGCTTGCCCGTTTACTTGTGGATGTGCTACCGAGGTGAAGTTCTGTTGAATCCCCATCTCAGCACACTAGTTCTGGAATTTAATATCTTCAAATTGCTTCCCGTTATCCAAAATCAAGATTTTGGGGAGTCCGAAACGACATAAGATGTTTTTCCAAAAGAAACTTTGCACGTTCCGAGCTATAATGCTTACTAGCGGTTTGGCTTCCACCCACTTCGTGAAGTAGTCTACCAACACGACTAAGAACTTCCTCTGTCCAGTTGCCGGCAGAAATGGACCAAGGATGTCGATTCCCCACTGCATAAAGGGCCACGGGCTAGTAAGATACTTTAAGTCGGTAGCAGGTTGATGGAGGATGTTAGCATGCCTCTGACATCTGTCGCATTTCTTGACGAGTTCGAGTGCGTCTGCTTTCATTGTGGGCCAATAGTAGCCCTACCTTAATGTCTTTTGGGCAAGGGCCCTACCCCCCAGGTGTCCTCCGCATAAACCTTCATGGATATCACGAAGTACAAGCTCAACTTCTGCGGGTCACAGGCAACGTAGGTAGGGGAGCGTGAATGATCTCCTATATAGCCATCCATCTATAAGGATGTACTTGGCCGATTATCTTTCTACCCTCTGAGCTACATCACGTTCTGCAGGTAGGGTCCCGTGGAGCAGATAATCAACGAGCGGGTTAATCTATCTCGGTTCCACTCGCAACACGGGAGCGGCCTCTTCTGCCCCCTCTGAGAATGCTGGGCCGAGGTAGGTCCTCTATGTACACAGTCCGCATAGTGTTGTCACTCGTACTTGCTAGTCGTGATAGGGCGTCGGCCTCAACATTCTCGGACCTCAGGATTTGTCTGATAAAGCAGGAAAGGAAGCTCGGTAGGATCTCTCTGACTTTGGTTAAGTAGGCTGCCATGGTCGAGTCACGAGCTTCGTAGTCGCCATTGACTTGGTTAACTACCAGTTGAGAGTCACTACAGACGATGAGGTGCCTCGCTTTCATCTCCTTTGCTTAGTTGAGCCCAACAATTAGTGCCTCATACTCTGCCTCATTGTTCGATGCCTCGAATCTGAACCGAAGAGAATACTCCAACTTCACCTCGCTCGGGCCGTACAGTATCAGTCCCGCTCCGCTTCTTTGTTGGTTAGACGAGCCATCGACATGGAGGATCTAGGGCTCCTCCTCCCGGTCGTAGCAGGGGAGAAGGCAACCGAGCTCAAAAGGGTAGGCGTTGTTCTTGTGGCCATTGAGCTCACTTCCTCTCTTTCCCATCCTTGGTCAATCGGATGGTTGGGCTTTTGCTGCTGGATCATTTCTTGCTGATGAATGGCGAGTCCTGCGACGTCGCCGCTGCTGCTTCTTCGGTGGAGCGACATTTGTATTGTCGGCCTCCGTGTTGTTAGGCACTTCGGTCTTACTTCGAATAATGGGGTGAGCTGGTTCGGAGATTCTTCTTGCCGCGTCTTCCTTGTCATGTGTTCAATGCTGGCTGTGTGAGGAACCAAGGGGTCTCTCCTGGAGCCCGCACCTTGGACCTCGAATTAGTGCTCCACTTGGGAAATTTGCCAACTATGCCTCTCGGGCTGGCTTGGTTCGGGTCTATTCCTCGGGCTTTCTCTTCAAGAGGCAGAGGGTACGTGTTTGTCGCCTACAACACCTCGGGCGGGGTACGTCCCGAATTGGGGGCCAGTATTTGTGAAGTTCTCTCCCTGCGAGGCGGGGACTGGCATTGGTTGTTTGTTGGCTGGTTTGGTTGCAGTGGTGGGAACTGCTGCTGATACTGCTGATAAAAGTAATATTGCTGGAATTGATGAATTTGATGCATTTGAATCTGCATCGTTCGGACACTCTGGATGTGATCGTTGAATTGGGAGTGTTCAATCCCAGGGAGAATCACGGAAGGCTTCGAGAATGTGGTGCTCACCTGTGGGAGCGGGACACTCACCTATTGGGCAACGTGGGGTGCAGGCAGTGATGGGACTCCAGGTATGGTCAGAGGAATGGTGAACTGGCTGATTGTCACCGAGGGTCCTTGGGGAGCGACTATCTGCTGCTCTTGTCCCCCTGTGATGTTCATGTTACCCTTACCGTTGTAGCTAGAAGATGCCACTGAAGTTGAGATTGAGTTTGAAATTGTAAAGAGATTGGGATGACCTTTCGATCGTTTTCCACAGACGGCGCCAATTGATGGTGTGTGATCTAAAAACTCCTAGCTGGAGGATGATCTAGACCTTAGTTGTTTAGCGAGTTGGACCAAGATGCAAGACAAAGGATTAGAGCACCAGGGACGGTTAACCCGATGAGGTCGCTCTGATGCTTAAGTCAGTATACTGTGTTGTGGTTGCGAGCTAGAATCTGAGTGCTAGAGAGCTTGGATGCAAGTAATCGCGCGTACCTGGACCATGGAAGGGTTAACACCTTTATATAGCCGAGTTATTGCGGGTTTCCCGGAACAGTTTCGAGATCTACGGCCTAAATAGGCGAGATCCGTTCCCGCTTTAATCGGGGAGTAACGTATCAATCAATGAACATCATTATCGCCGCCCAATTCGGATGGGGAGAAGGTAAGACTTGTCGTTATGCAGTATGATCCTGCAATATCCGAAGTCTGCTAAGAAGATATTGGGATTTATTCGTGTCACTTCAGTTCTTGGGCCCCGAACTTGATTAACAGTCGATGTGGCATTACAACGCGGTGAACTATTGCCGAAGTGACTTTACGCCAATCTCCGCATAGTACTGACTAGGCTCCCCTTCTGAGTTGTCATCTTAGATTGTGTCCATGTGACTTTTATTTACTGGGTCGTGCTAAATTACTCCTCATCATAACATATCTCGTACTTATTATTTATTATTCACGGGAGATGTTCCCCATGCACCCCACCGACAAACAAGGGTCAAGATCTCATCCCAAAATCTCAATAGAACTTTCATCCACCAATTCGCACACGCTCCAGGGTCCTGGATGTGGGAATTGAGAATTAAACACTTTACCACGTGACCATTAAAGTGCATCTATGCTGTATCCCCTCCTCACATGACCATCCCCATTAAAATTATCTCCAAAACAAAAGAAAATTAAAGAATAGAATCTCTTTCTCTTTCTCTTTCTCTCTAAACTTTTAATCCTCCCTACAGCACCGACACTCTGTTTAACCAAAATTTCACATTTCTTCATTTTCTTTAAGTGTATGAAGATACACTGTTTTCACAATTTAACAAAATATAATGGAAAAATATTACTAAACATAAACAGAGACATAAGAAATTAATCCCAGAATCATCGACTCACGATGCTTCTACGATGATGATGCCGACGGTAACGATGTGGTGCGATTGCGACAGAATTGGAACGTCTTTGCATCCATCCTTTCTAGTACGAAATGCCCAAGCAAGTCCTTCGACTCCACCAGGTTCTCCTTGCACAGGAACTCATCGCTGCAAACTCTTTCCACCTCTCTGTTGAAGTCATGGACAAACACATGCGTCTTCCTATCTCCGCTTCTCTTGCTCCTCGCCAGCACTCCCGATGTGAAGATCGCCGACATGCGGCCCGGCGCCGACGGGTAATAGCCACGCGGTCCGTCCACCAGTATCACATCCCAAGCAACCTCGTACAGGTGATTCGGGAGGTCGTTGATCCCCAGCTTACAGTCGGAGAAGAGTAGGTTCTGTACGGGTCGGCATTCGTTGTGGAGCTGCTCCCGCGCAGACGCGATGAGATCTTTCATTTGGCTCACCTTGGTTGTGTACTGAACGTCGTACGCTTCCATGTCGGGGTGTTTTTCTTCGAATTTCGCAATGTAATACTCGCTCTCGTCGAGGAAGACCGTCCGCCCGTAGTGATTCAGAGCCTTCCACAAAAGGGTCTCGGGGGTGAGGCCGAATACGAGAAAATTGCAAGGAGAGGGGCAGCGCTGGAGGACGTCGGTGATCATTTTGAGCTCCGCATCTGACATCCGGCCGGTGACGTTAGAGATGGAGGCGTAGTGGAGGAGGGCATCGGCAACGCTCTTGGGCAACCGCGAATGACCCGAGACAGAAGAGGAGGAGGTTACAGAGGTGGTTGCGGCCGTTGATTTTGCAGAATCTCTAGTATTGAAGAGAGTAAGAAGGAAGGCGAAAGTGAAGAAAGTAACAAAAGCGAGAAGCCAAACTCGATGGGGCACTCCTTGCTTGTGAACGGAGGGGTGGATGAGAATCACCTTGGTATTGTTGTTGTTGCTGCTGCTCTTCATGACTTGGTACTAGAGAGAGAAGGAGAGATCTGGAATCTGAAAGAGGGAATAGACCAAAATTGCAATGGGATAGAATAGAGAGAGAGAGAGAAAGAGAGGGATTAGCTAGACCGGATTGCAGAAGGAAAGAAGAGTGTCGAGTCCAAAGAGGGGTTTGATTGGAATCATATTTAGAGGGGACGTGGTTGTGAAGGGAGGAGTGAGGGGGACGGGATATCTCGTGACATGTAATAAACTTAAATTATTAAATAAATAATGAGAATAGGGTGGGCTCAGAGAGAGATTCAAGAGAGGTATGGTGCAAGAGACCGAGACGCGACCTACTAACTGTACACCAGCGAGGTGTCATTGTTCCTTAAATTTTGCTTGCTTTTGTTTCAACAAGTGTTGGTGTTGTCTTCTTTTTTTATTTTTTTATTTTTGTATTACTCATGCTTACCGGGAAACTTTATTGGCGTAAACAAATCAGTCGTTCACTTCCCAAGAGATCCGAACCGACTGATCTGCCTAAGGTTGAGACAGGGTGTGGCGTGTCTAGTGGGTCCAGGGCCTATCGTCCATGGTCAAGATGAAATTTTAGAAACCCCCCGGGCCCGGCCGGCCGGCCCCCCGAAAAATGAAAGTAAAAGAAAAATGCAATTTAATTATACCATTTTATCGCCGATGATCTCAAAACCAAAGAGTAAACGACTAAAGATTGCTCGATAGACCCTTCTTTAAGGGAAGGAAACCAGTCCACCAACACACACTTGTAGTACTGATTGAATTGAAAATATGAAGAATATTCGAGTTGCTTGAGTAACCAACAACTCCGGAAAACCGCCTTTACATACGGATAATGGAGGGAGGTGCGGGCTAAATCTCCGTCTATGATTCCGTAGTTTTAGAAATAAAAAAGAAATGAGTCAAATCAACAGAATAAATATTGTGATTATTTAAGAGAAAATGTAAAAGAAAACAAAAACAAAAAGAGAAAGTGAATTAAAGAAAATAGTAAAGCCGTTGATAATTGAATCAAATCCATGAAGCCAAGCCAAAAGAAAAAGTGTTGGTGAAGACATCGTTAAAGCCAACCCCGCATTTAACGGGGATTTCTCCATTAATTTATAGAGGGGGTTCTGGTTCTCTGATATCTTCATGTCTATGCCATGGACTGCCACCCATTTGATACGATTAAGCTTGTAATCATTTGTCATTTGTACTCTTCAAATCAAAAGGCACTTAAAAAATATGGTCCCACAAGCGGAATCATCACATCAGCAGTGAAGTCAAGTGGGAAAGCAACTCAACTCAAAGTCGTATTCCAACGAACTAACGAACATCCCAAAGTAATTCCGCCTGCATAGTCTGAATTGAATTCTAACAATCCAAATCAAATAGGCCCGCTTAGACATGTGCCCCACGAGAAAAACGTCCGCATTTGATTGGATGGCCCAAATTGACGACCACACTATGTATAACATGTGTATGTGTATGGCATGGGCTGCACGTAGGGGTGTCAATTGGACCGGATTTCGTCCAATCCCGATCCAATCGAATGTGATTTTATTACAAATGGACCTAGTCCAATTCATTCCAATGAATATTTTGGATCGGTTCACAAATTCCTGTTAATTTAGATTGGTTTTAAAACAAACCTGATCCATTGATACCTATATTCTTATCTTCTATCAATGGATCAGATATTGGCTCAATCCAATATAAATTTATTATGGGTGGACCAGGTCCAATGCAATATGTCATGTTGATCCGTTCTAATTCAATGTCTTATTGGTCTGTCCAATTCATCCAAATAGATTTTGATTTGGACAAAATCCAACCTAAAACCGATCCATTAACACCCCTAACTGCACGGGTTATAGGAGACCACTGGACTTATTACTTGTTAGCATGGCGGGATCGGGATGTGCACAACAACACACCATTCATTTTACAAGGCTAATCCATCATTTCTATTACTCCCACACGCGTGATGTATTCATTAATGAAACTTGTTATTTTCTTAGGCTGAATTTCAATTCTACAAAGGAGGGGTGGGTGCCCTTGTTAATTAAATGTAGTGGTGAAAATTGAAAAGTTCCTCGTGTGAACCTTTTTTTGAGCAGCTTGAACAATATCCTCTCAAGAGAGATCAAGAAACATCGAACATTTTTGTTTTTTTTTTTTTTTATTCTTCCATCATTTAGCACTCTTTAAATAGTATGGTAATAATCACAACTTCTATACGGTATTTATTCAAAGAATTTCAAATTCAAGGTATAATAAAATCATAATTTCGAAAGTGGGGGTGTCAAATGGACCTGTTTTGGATTGGATTCAATCCAAATTAAAATCAATTTGTAAAGATTGGATAGGCCAATGAGACATTGAATTTAACCAGCCCAGATTTAATGGTTCAAACTATTTATTGAATTGGACTCGACATGTTCCATCCATAATTAATTTATATTGAATTGGGTTAGATTCAATCAATATGTAGTCCATCCATATCCATAGAAGATAAGAATATAGGTGCCAATGGACCAGGTTTGGGCTAGAACCATTCTAAATTAAAACCAATTTGAATAAATTGGATGGTTCAGACATTAAATTGGACTGGTCCAAAATAGTCTAATGTATTGATCGGATTGGATGGTCCATCTATAATGGACTCATATTGGGCCAGATCGGAAGTCCAATTGACACTCCTATTTGAGAGCATTGGACAGTAGCAGTAAGGAGGAAAGAGAGTTTGCAATGCTGTATTTGGTTACGCAATACAAATTGCATTGGAAGTACAAATTTTGTGTCTACTTTTCTTTCAACTTTAAGGTGATACTTGGTACTGTGGTTGTTTCTAATTGGAACGCTGTCACATCAACACCACCAAAGACATTTTTTAAATTTAAAAATCAATTTATTTGGTTGGGGGCTAGCTGCTTTCATTTAAAACGGTTATAGAACATTTATACTAGAAAAATAAATCAAGAGATATTGGGAGAAATGCCAAGTTGATATTTCCTACACCAGTCCAGTCCATTTGAAGAAATAGTCTAATGACCTGGTTAGCTCTTAATTGGCATCTACGTAGCATGTTAGATATATATTTTAGTGCATCATCATATGTGTAATAATTAGCCAGTTATAAAAAAAATATCTACTTTTTATATTGGCCATTAGATGAGAAACAATGCATAATAGGGTGGTGTTGTATTGAATATAAACATTTTATTTAAATGTTAATGTTATAAGTAGATAATTAACAATGCCAGTACCAAACATAATAATACTAGCTCAAAACATATGTTGAACACCTACTGAACATAAGTACCAACCAAACAAAAAGTTTTATGTTAAAAAACCAACAAGACACACACCTAATGCCATTGCCTTTATAAATGTTTGAGCTTGAAATGGCAACGGTAACTAATACAACCTAAATGAAAGAAAAATGGAGGTGTCTACGTACGTAGGAATAAACTAAGGAGCAAGGAGGCAATATGATGCGGTCCCCACTTTAACTTTATTAAGAGAAGTGAGAAACAATTGAAATGGGTGGAAGGTGAGTGCATGTATAAATGAAAGCAAAAGAACGGGGTACAGTACAAAATTTACGCCCACATAAATTTTGAGTTGAATTGTGCATGCTAAAAATATCAAAAGAGTAACGAGAAATATACTTGATGAGGCATCAAGAAAGAGAAATAATTTGTTCCAAGGTGTGAAGGAGAAAGGAGATAAACAGTGTTTTTATCTTTTCTTTTATATTTTTTAAGAAAAAATTATTCTATTCTAAAAATTCTATTAAAAATTTATTTTTATTAATAATAAAATTTAAAGATTGCCTAAATCAACTACAATCCCAAAATTAAATAATTTTAACTGATGCTAGGGGTGTAGGATGTAATTATGTAAAGGATTTACTTATCTACTCCTCTGCTTGGATGTTTTGAGTCGGGTGGGCCACAGCTATGACACCAGGCCAAAGTCTTAGATCACAAGATTCTTACTCGTTGACATAAATATCTGTCCTCGTTTATTTTCTCCCGAGAGAGATGAGCCATGCGAGAGGAGTTGAATTTGCTCCCACAGACCGCACCTCACGTAAACTTTACAAACACTTTGAAGCGTACATTTGGAACATTTCCTTACTTCTCATTCATGAGGAGATATTCTGGTATGAGACACGCTATTTAAGCAGCAAAAGCAAATCCGAATTCATGCCAGATCAAACGGCAGAGGAGATTTATTTGTATTATATGTAATTAACTAGTCGGAACCCTGTTATGCATGGGATTTTTTAATCGAATTGACAATTAGAGTTAATGTGCTTTTAAAGAGTGATAGATACTTATAAACACCTTACCACAAAATTTCATCACAGATATCTCCCATTTAACCCTTCATCACACTAAGATTTTAATTGGGGTTATCTCATTAATCAAGATATTCATTTCTTAAATGCCCTTGGTCATACCATTTATGGACCAATCAAATCCCACCAAATGATCCAAAAGACCAATACTTCTAAAAACCTTATTATCAGCATCTGATTTTTTCTCAATTTATTGCCAAAACACCAATTTACCCCAAACACCTAATCAGACTGCTCTAATTCATTAGACCTAGGACCTCCTAAAATATCTTACCCTGAAATTTCAATCCAAGATCCCCCTCCGTTTATTCTTTTATCAAACCAAGATTTCCTTTCGAATCCTTTAGTTAACTTGAAGCACCCACAACCCAAATCTCCTTGATCCTAACACATCCGAATCAATTAGACTATACAATTGAACCTTAGACACACCAAAAACATCTACCCATAAATTTTCAACCTAAAATTCCTCCATTTCCCATCATCGAACAAATATTCCATTTTGGATGCTCTCATTGACCCAAATTTCTGTGATTTTGGCCCTCCAAAATCAATCAGATGTTTCCATAAGATCCTAGACACCCTAAAAGCTCTACCCACAAAATTTCAGTTCAAAATACCTTTGTTTATCCCTCCATTACACCAAGATTCTATTTCAAAGCTTCGTATTGACTAGATCAAAGTCCTTTCTGAATCTGCCCGATCTTGGCATTATTGGGACAATCTTACCCTATCAATCAACCCACAATGCTCAAAAGCACCACCCTACCAAATTTCAACAAAAAATTCYCTCATTTTCCCTTCCATCACACCAAGATTCTGTTACGAAGTTAATAAATTAACTGAATCACTACCC